ATACCTACGAAAGTATTCCGTATAATTTCCGGTAAGATTTCGCGGACAATCTGATCGATTTCTCTTACATTGTGTGCTGAGACTGAAACTTTTCACGTCGGGCAAAGCTTTGTCGCACGGCCCATAACAAACATAGCGAGCAACAGAGCTTGTTGTATATGTGCGTGTTAAAATCTGCCTTAATTTTCATTAATGTTTATAAAAAGGTGCAAACGGACACTTGGTTATAAATGGAAATCTCTTCTTGGACAGTTATACATCAGCCAATCGCAATGAGTATAGTCAAATAAATCTCTTCGTCAGAAAATGTATTACTATACCATGACAATTACAATGGCTACCATCCCGAGCGGGGGATTTCCAAAGTCATAAAGGTGGCTGTTTCCAGGGCATTTTCAAAGTGTATTTGGCGAAGGTTGAAATGGTTAAGTGTTTATAGATCGCAATTATAGGCTTTTCATTCCATGAATGCATTTTGTTTTTTTCTGAAATTGCAATGGTTATAATTAATTTATAACAGGACTTCGTTTCATCCGATGTAGTCAGTAAATATGATTTTTATTAACATACGGATAGATAGATAGATAGATAAATAGATAGGTAGATAGATAGATAGATAGATAGATAGATAGACAGGTTTATTAAAATCACATCGCAGTAAAATACTGAATTGCGCAGTTTTTACAAGCTACTACTGTACAAATATAAAATATGATGATTTAAAGCTCTATTAAAAGTTCTATTACATCTCAACTTGGGTTGGTTACAGCCGCACCCTTCACGAAAAACGAATTAGCAAAACGCTTTGTCTTGGCTGCTGGTACATTGTACGTTCTTTGGCGCCTTAAGTTATAATGACGGCTATGGGCTTCAGGAATTAAGCAATGTAGTTTACTGTTCTGATTCTCGCTGATTGATCTAAAAAAAGACTTTGTAATGTTTTCGTGATGTTCCCAGATAGTAGTCAATAGAAGTCCCTAAACTCTTTCTAACTTTGACTGTAAGTACTGAGGTAGAGAATAATGGAACACAGGGCAAGCGTAGTCAAGGGAGGATCTAATACATACGCAGTAGTAGGCAACGAGATCTTCGGCTGGAGCACGCGCACGTTTAATTTGCAAAAGGAAATTAATTTTCCTAGCTGCTTTCTTAACTAAACTATCTACATGATCGTTCCATGTTAGTGTGTTGTTGATGGTTGACGGACTTCCACTTCCTTGTCGTTCCATTTGATATATTACTCGATTTGGACACCAGATGGCACTATTGCTCTTTAGAAATCATGACGTGAGAAGCACTATTGTACAATAAATTACTATGATATA